GTCTCAGCTAGTGGAGTGCCGAGGCGCCATTTCTCTTTCTTTCTCTCTCTCTCCCTCTGCTGTCAGCCAGCCGAAACTCTCCAGCGAGCCACTTCCGCTACAGAAAAAAACGAGAGTTCGCGCGCTTCTACGAAGTTGGCGCCACAGAAATTTTGAAAAATATATTTTTATACAAAAGCTGCACAAAAGTAAAAGAATGCGTTTTTGTTCTTTTAGTTATATTTACTCTGTTGGTGTTGGCAGTCAACTAATGTTTTAGTACATTTAATTATAATAAATTATATATTTGGTGAAGTTGCACAGTGTGTTAATGTGTGTTAATCGTCATTCTAACATTTGATTTAGTAACAAAAAAGTGATCCACGATCTCATACTATGTTTGGACATGCTATGTTCAGAATGTTGAACATGTTAGTAACATGGTATTTTTAAGTACCTTGGACAGTACCATGGAGTATTATCAAAGCATCGTATTACCAGTTTCACTGTACCACTACCACAGTACTTTTTGTTGGGGTTATATTTACACTGTTGTTGGCAAAAAAAAAAAGTGAATATGATGTGGTTTAAAGGAGACATACCCCCTTTTTACAATATGTAATATAAGTCTCTGGTGTCCCCAGAATATGTTGTGAAGCTTCAGCTCAAAATACCCCACAGATCATTCATTATATCGTTTTGAAAATGCCTATTTTGAGTGGAAGCAGAAACACGCAGCGGCTGTCACAGCATGTGAGTACTAAACTAAGTTCTCATTCACACACAAGTTTACTTAAAAACACACACGAGTTACAAAAACAGTCAGTTATGTCTATGAAGATAAACAGCTGGGAAATAAATCGCATGTTTATTTTAGATCTGTGTGGAAGCAGCAATATAGAGTAAGTAAATCAATTGTTCCACTGCTCTTTTGTCTCCTCTGAGGCTGGGACTCTAAATAGTGTTCTGTGCTCGTCTGTGCAGCCAAAGACAGAACAGTTATCTGTTTTGCTCGAACTTTCACCATGGCATTAGAACTGGTACACCGTTGTCGCTTACGAAATGAAAATGAAGGCGCCGTGCTGTAGCCCCTCACTGCAGAACACAAGATCCAGGGGGCGTGGTTGGATCCACATCTAGGGGGTGGAGATTGGTAGGTTTAGGTATATGTAAGGTGGGAGGAGTTGGATCTGGATCCAACCATGCCCCCTGGATCTTGTGTTCTGCTGTGAGGACCATCTCGCGCCGTGGGTGGAAACTTACAGATTAAGGGGCGGTGATATTATAATGAGATCCCTTTGCAACAAATCAGACGTGCTCGTTTTTTCAGGCAGAAAAAGGCTTACCAAAACAAAGTTACTGCCTGGGTTAATCTTTTTCACGTTTCCTTGGTTGGTAGATGCACCGGGGACCTGATTATAGCACTTAAAACCTGGAAAAGTCAGATTTTCATGATATGTCACCTTTCAATACAATTTATTTTAATAATTATTATAATTTTAAAAACTGAAGATGTCAGGGACATTCAAAGGGACTTCCAGGAACGGAAAAGGATGGCGATTATTATCATAAAAAGTAATGGAAAAACCATCTAAATTCTTGGAGAGTCATGTAAGATTGAATGTATGAAGTATGAATTTTTAATACATTTTCATCCCATACAAATGTACTCTAACATCTTTATTCTAATCAAGTTGTCAGGCAAAATGTAATTTGAGTCATTATAGCAGAGAAGTCATTTCATTTCCAAGTTCAACCAGATGGTTTGACTCTGAGTCAGTGCAGTTCACTTAAAAAACACCCTAAATGTGATCATCTTTGGCTTAAAAAAACGTTATTGATAGTGTGTGTGTGTGTGTGTGTGTGTGTGTGTGTGTGTGTGTGTGTGTGTTACATCCTCCACTAGTGGCACCAAACGGAACTACAACAATACTGATCATGGAACTATGATGTCACTTTGTAGGCAAAAACCCGGAAGCGAGTTAGCATTTTAGCACTTCCAGTTCCATTGTCCCAGAGTCAATGGGTTTTTTGAATGGGAGTTTGGTTAAATACCCTAAAATAAGGTCCGTGGTTCACACAAGCTCAAGATACTTTTACGTTTTATTCTATGACATAAAACATCAGTTACACCCCACTTGTGATTTTTTAAAACTGGTACGTTTCTTTAAAAAGACGGTTGCTAACAAGTTGCTAAAAGTGACTACAGACGCTGTCGGAGACATTAAATGTCATCACGCCGAACAGTTTATCAATTTACAGTATATTCCAATTGTAGCATAATTTATTGTGCAATTAATTGTAGAATAACCAATTAACCGTTTATTGCATTTTATATTGTTGTTCGACAATGTATTTTTTATGTTTTTTGCTTTGCCCCGAAATGCAGCACAAGTCTTCCGATGGAAGATGCTCGTTTTATCGCTTACTGATACAGAGACTCTGGGTTCGGACCATAAGGTAAACTCATATGATTATTCCATGTAAACACCACATTTACCGGCTTAGTCACGGTGAAAGTGAAACTTTAATGATGCATAGTGCTTAAAGCCACGTTAAAATTAAATGTTTACGGCCACAAGCAGCTGTTAGAAAACATTGAGGGCTTTCTTGAAGCAAGGATAAAATAAAATTTAGTGTACTCATCCTAACAAAACGATAGCTTAAATGTACTTTATTCACTAAAATAAGTTTAATCTTACCATATCCAAAAACTCGCTCACTCTGCTGTTAATAGATTAAATGCACTAGAATTTTATTGAATAGTACGTGGAGACGCGTTTTTAAATATTCATATTAATCAAAGATTTATTCACTTTTAATGCACCTTATTTCGAAATGTACAGAAATACGTGCTTTCATATGTCCTTTAGTTATGATTATTTCATTTATTCACTATACTATTTATTACTAATGTCTCATTTCAGTTTTAGTTTGGCTCTAGTTTTGTATTTATTCCAGTTTATATGAAAGGTTCATATAGCGTGGATTAAAATTCATATACAGAGTAAATCCTTTTCACTGAAAGTGTTACAAATAAGTTTGAAAAGTTGTGGGAAGCATGGTGGTGGTGACGTTGAAGGCGAGCGACTGTGGAGGAGTAGTTCAATTATAGCCTAAGTTTAGCTTTTAGGTTCTGGAGCTTTTATTTTGGCTTCAAAATTCATAAAAGTTATATTATTTTGTGAAGATTATCTTGATGGACAAAACGTGTAAGCATCAGCATACAAAGTGACGTCATAGTTCCGCCAAAAAGGTTTCCCAGAACATTCCCCGTCTGCCATTCTTCGATGAAACTGATAGCCCCGCCCTAAATTCACCCCATTGGCTGAGAGCTTCTTCAAACTTTTCTGATTGGCTAACATGCGTGGCCGGCCGCTCACTTTATTGGCTGTTTACAAGTTTATAGCTGTCAAGTGTGATTTCACAGGAGGACGTTATTTCAGTAATATATGTCAGATATTGGGTCAGGTGATGTGTGCTATTAAAAATCACTTCTAGAAGCGTTTATCTGTACATAATCCATACAATACATACATAATCTGTACATAATTAACCCATCTCTTTTAGAGAACTACAGACCGGTTTCCCTTCTTCCTTTCATTGCAAAAACACTTGAACGAGCTGTGTTCAACTAAGTCTCTGCCTTTCTCACACAGAACAACCTCCTTGACAGCAACTAGTCTGGTTTCAGAAGTGGACATTCAACCGAGACTACCTTAGCCTTGCTCACAGTTGTTGAAGCCCTAAAACTGGCAAGAGCGGATTCCAAATCTTCAATATTTATCTTACTGGATCTGTCCACTGCTTTTGACATGGTTAACCACCAGATCCTCCTGTCAACCCTATTGGCAAAGGGCATCTCAGGAACCACATTCCAGTGGTTTGAGTCATATCTCTCAGATAGGTCCTTCAAGATATATTGGAGAGGTGAGGTGTCCAAGTCGCAACATCTAACTACTGGGGTGCCTCAGGGCTCAGTTCTTGGACCACTTCTCTTCTCTGTCTTCATGGCATCACTAGGTTCTGTCATTCAGAAACATGGCTTTTCATATCACTGCTATGCTGATGACACTCAACTCTACCTCTCATTCCATCCTGATGATCCGACGATAGCTGCTCGCATCTCAGCTTGTCTAACAGACATTTCTTGCTGGATGAAGGACCATCACCTTCAACTCAACCTTGCCAAGACAGAACTGCTTGTGATTCCATCAAACCCATCGTTTCATCACAATTTCACCATCCAGTTAGGCACATCAACCATAACTCCTTCAAAAACAGCCAGAAACCTTGGAGTTATGATTGATGATCAGCTGACTTTCTCAGACCACCTGAGAAAACTGCCCGGTCCTGCAGATTTACTTTATTCAACATCAAGAAGATCAGGCTCTTTCTTTCGGAACATGCTTCACAGCTCCTTGTTCAAGCTCTTGTTCTGTCCAAGCTGGACTATTGCAATGCTCTCTTGGCAGGTCTTCCAGCCAGTTCTATCAAACCTTTACAATTAATCCAGAAGGCAGCAGCAAGATTAATTTTTAATGACCCGAAAAGAATGCATGTCACACCTCTGTTTATCAATTTGCACTGGCTACCAATAGCTGCTCGCATAAAATGTTCTGCAAGCGAACATCGCTTTATTGTGCCATCTCAAAGAGGCACAAAATCACTTTCACTGACTTTTACATTAAGCTAAATGAGACTTGTTATAGCACTTGCATATCATTGCTTTTTTTATTTTTGATTGTTTCCATTGGCCTCATTTGTAAGTCGCTTTGGATAAAAGCATCTGCTAAATGTCTAAATGTAAATATAATGTTGAGGGTATGTTGTTTCTGTAACTCAGCTAAGTTCACTAACGACCATCTGTCACTATCACAGCCAAGACAAACACACACGCGGCCTTTATTTAGCTTCCTTCAGTGAACCAACTCATATTCATACCAGAGTATAACACCTTTTCAAGCTCATTTGGCTTTCGTGATGTCATAGCAACGTGTGCACAAACGTTACGTCGGGTGACGGAGACGTCACAGGAATGGTGGACAGCCGTAGCGTACGGAGCGGCATGACAACTGTGAGAAATTTACGAGCTAAAGAGACAGTTTTACGACACCACTGAAGCCTTATACTGGTAACAATCTACAATCGGAATTATTAATCTGCCATACAGAAGTGACATGCTATGGGTTAAGCGCGTGTTAGCTGTTATAACGGTGCGCAGTGCGCTTGCGTGCTCTCTACACTGTCCTTGCGTAATTTTGGCGCACTGCTTTCATTTATTATGCTGCTTTTGACCCGTTTGTTATAGTGAATATGAATAGAGTGCTTAAAGCATGCATGTGGGTACCATTACTGTTCAGAGCTTGACCTCAAAGCGTTTGATAACATAAACTGAGGATATAAGTACACAAGATATTAGGCTTGTTTGAGATGAGCAAAATCTGCGCAGAACTGATCACCGCGAGATGCATGCTGCCGGTTAGAAAAGTGTCCGAGTTACGTCCGACTTGCTTCGATGTCACGCTGACGTGTGCCAAAAAAACTCTCGCGCAGTGTTGCCAACTAATTTTCGGGAAGTTGCTAAAGGAAGACTGATTTGTTGCTAAATGACGTTGCGATGTCATTGCGCGGTGACGTCTTGCGTAATCACGATGCAAAATTGTCACTGCATCAAATCTCAGCAAAAAAATAAAACATTTAAATATGTTAATTTAGATGCGTTTATAAAATAATATAAATGCATAATATAATATTAAAATATAAATAACTAAT